TATCCAAATAGGTCATAACTGATCTCGGGCCCAAGGCCCAAGAAAATCCTAATTCATACTCAGGTACATGCATTACTTATACGGGACTCATACATCCACAAACATGAACTTTAGCATCGGAGTCTCTTTTGCAGGTACCACCCCCATCTTGGAGCAACCAACGTACCAGTGAAGGAGGCTCATCGATCTTACCCAGCGAATCATCCCCTACGACCGATCTCCGGTAAGAACATTTGGCCCACTGTGGGGCCGATCAAGACAGCTCTTATCGGCCACGCTTATGGTTTTCACTCGAAGCCATAATAGACGAGCAACAGACAACGTCGATCATACGACCAACATGGACAACGAAGCAGCATTGAGAAGGCTGATCGAGCAGGTCGAACAAAGGCGGCAACAACACACCGCCGATCTGCAAAACATGCGTGCCAAGCACGAAATTGACCTGGCGGCGCTACGTACCGCTAACGAAGCTAAGCTAGTGGCGAACGTATTCGTGCCCAACTTCCTCGGCGCCCTTCTGATCAACCTCCTCAACTGAGTAACCAACACGAGGAAGAGGGGCATTCGGTTTCTCAGCCACCAACAGCACCTAGGGCACCAACCCCCCGACCTGCTACACACCGTTCACATGCACCGACGAACAGGTCGGCCCATGAAGTCAGCATTGCTCCAGCCCAGGCTCCAGGCAATCGGACGAGCATTCGTCGCCACCCCTTTGTGGACGGCATCATGGAGACACCTCTGCCCTTCGGCTGGAAGCCCCTCCACATCGACCGCTACGATGGCACAACAGATCTAGACGAGCACATCGACTTATACGTCATGCAGGTAAACCTATACACTAACGACGATGCTGTTCTGTGTAAGGTTTTTCCGACTTCGCTCAAGGGGGCAGCACTCAACTGGTACACTCAACTGCCGGTGGAGTCGATAGACAACTTCGACACTCTGGTAAGGTGATTCACGGCGCAATATGCCACGAGTCGACCTCACCATGTCACATCAGCCGCCTTGGCCAGTCTCAGACAAGGCGACAACGAATCACTGAGGGCGTTCATGGAACGCTTTGCCAGTATCTCAGTCAAGATTCAAAACTTGAACCCCAAGGTTTCCCTACACGCCATGCTCATAGTGCTCAAGCCTGGACCTTTCATGGACAGCCTGTGTCGACGATCTCCTCTTGATATGGACGAACTCCGTGCCCGAGCTGCAGAGTACATTCAGATGGAAGAGCACTCTGATTTTCGTGACCAGATTCGCGACAAACCACAAGGAAAGCAAGACCAAGGTCAGGCCACAAACATTTAAAGTTGGCGACCTTGTTTGGTGGGGTGAGAGAGGCAAGAATAGACCCCTCCGAAGGGAAATTCGGAACTTGGAATGTCACCCACCTCAAATTTTATTAACTTGTAAATTCAGGTGATGTATTCTTTTTCCTCCTCAGCCTTTTTTCTCACTAAAGAAAAGGGTTTTTGGCCAAGGAAGGTTTTAACGAGGCACACCTCAGAAATAATCAACAAAGCAACTCCATTCCCATACATTTTCGGTATTGGCACATTAACCGTGACGACTTGCCAAGGTCGAGTTCGAACCTTGATGTTAAGGTCAAGTTCGAACCTTCAAGTACAAATTACGTTGCCAAGGTCGAGTTCGAACCTTGCTATGCCAAGGTCGAGTTCGAACCTTGTTATGCTAAGGTTGAGTCCGAACCTTGAGACTACATTTTCTTAACCAAGGTCGAGTTCGAACCTTGTTATGCCAAGGTCGAGTCCGAACCTTGAGACTACATTTTCTTAACCAAGGTCGAGTTTGAACCTTGTTATGCCAAGGTCGAGTCCGAACCTTGAGATTACATTTTCTTAACCAAGGTCGAGTTTGAACCTTGATATACCAAGGTCGAGCTCGACCCTTGAAGATCACATCTACTTAACAAGGTCGAATTTGAACCTTCAAACAACAAATTTGGGAGCTCCTCAGAAGCCCCTTCGCTCTTACATAACTTGGTGCTTGGGGGGCAAGTGTACTAGCCAGCCGAGTTGCCGAATTTTCCCTCACCAATCTATTGACTCAATCAAGGGTTTACCAGCCTGACCAAGCAGTAAACTCATTATTGCCGAGTTCCTCAGCTCGGCCATGAAACATGGACATCGGAATACCACATGGCCCAAAGAGGCCACGTCATCAAACAGATAAAAATATAATCTTGTCACCGCACCGCAATCACAAGGTAAAATCCTAATATTACCAAGGTACGTCTACATAACCGTCACCTCCCATTAACACGCTGCCTGCGCGTTTCGGGGAGCGAGGTGACACTTATGACACATGGCATCGCGAGAGAGAAGCGTACGCCAAAAGTCACGACCCTTTACCAAGCTCGGTATCAACTCCTCGACCCACGGTCTTCGGAGCTCGGGGGCTAGTGTACTATCCGTACCGCTATGCCGAGCTCGAGCTCGGCATCTCAGCGCAAAGTGACCTCGTACACGCGCTGGGCGACGTCAGCTCAGTATTCAAATAGGTCATAACTGATCTCGGGCCCAAGGCCCAAGAAAACCCTAATTCATACTCAGGTACGTGCATTACTTATACGAGACTCATACATCCACAAACACTAACTTTAGCATCAGAGTCTCTTTTGCAGGTACCACCCCCATCTTGGAGCAACCAACGTACCAGCGAAGGAGGCTCATCGATCTTACCCAGCGAATCATCCCCTACGACCGATCTCCGGTAAGAACACAACGAATTGAATTTAGTAAATTGAGGAATCAATTATTAAACTATAATCCTTAGAATTTATAAACACAAATAATTGATTTATAATGATTTTTGTGATTTCAATGACACTAAGTAATAAAAATCATATATAGATAATTTTAAGAGATCATAAGAGTGAAATAGATGAAATTCAATCCCAATAGCTTTTCTCATTGTTATCCTTCAATTTTATACTTTCTTTTTATTGATATTTTATTTATAAATTCAATATTGAAAATGCACAACAATATGTTTATATTCAATGTGCATCTTTCTTTTGCAAGTTTTATCTATGATAATAGAAATTACAAAATATTTTCAGAGTTCTTGTGGATCAACAACCTCTACTTCTATTTATACAATAGCAAATTTGGTGCACTTGCCACAAAATTTTAACAGGAGTGTTTTAGAAAGTGTGTTGCTCTACCATCCATATGTTACATTTCTTTCTTAAACTTTAAATCATTCTAAAAGTATTAAAGAAATAAGAATATAAATTCAATAATCCATGTACAACTACATGTAGAAGGTGCCACATTCAATGCACAATATAAACACGTGGAGGTAATTATGTTACGCCCATAAATACCATAAAAATCTAAATGATGAGCCCTAAATCAAAGTGAAGACTAGAAATTAAATGAATTGATGAAAGTTGTTTTTCAAAATCCAAAAATGTTATTCATTATCATTACGAATTCAATGTGGAAACAAATTTGGTTGATGAAGATAAAAACAAAAGACTGTTCTCCTAGGTGGGCCATCGTTAATGAGAAAATAATGCAAAAACATTAATACTAGCAATATTCTTTATAACACATTCATTCTAATGAGATGAAATTTATCGAAAAACATAAAAGTTGATAGGTCTCATACCTTATTTAATGACACTTTTTCTTGATTTTGTGATTTTTAATAAATTTTAATAAATGAGAAAGAGAGTATTAAGAGAAGCGTGTTAGAGGATATATTGTTTTACCACTCATATTTTATGTTTCTTTCTTAAACTTTAAAATTCATCCTAACGGTATTAAAGAAATAAGAGTATAAATCTATGTATAACTAAATATAAAAGGTGCCACATTGAATGCACAATTTAGATTATGGGAGGTAATAAGCATCAAAAAGAGGTAATTACGTTATGCCCATAAATGATACAAAAATCCAAATGATGAGTCCTAAATCAAAGTGAAAACTAGAAAACCTTCTTTCAATTTGAAGAATGTTTAGATAAAGCGTAAGCCAAACAAGATTAGTTTAAAACCTTCCTTTAACACCATCTCTTAAATATTGTTACTAACTTATTTAACCATTCTTCAATTTTCTTAATAGTATTTTAGTTTGTGCAATGCATAAGTTAAATGTTTATTATATATAACTAAACTTTATAATAAATCATACATACAAATAAATATTATGTTTTAATATATACATTATATTCAAAATTTATAAAATAGATATTTTTAAGTGTATAAATTATATTTTAAATTTGTGATAAATAATTTATATTGTAGTGTAAGATTATTTTTATTAATTGATAATTTATTTTTAAAAAATATAAAAATTTAATTACAAATAATTATAATAGAAAACTAAATTATGTAAGTAGTTAAAAAAGATCCTAAAAATCTTTTCATTAAAAATATTAAAAATACTCTCACAAAATAAAGAAATTTATGTTTAATATGTAAGTGTTGAATCATAATTTTTTTTTTTGTTTTATATTCAAGCTAGTTTTACCCTAGATAGGAAATTGAAATATGAAGGGGATTCGAACCTTAAAACGCATTTTAATAAATAATTATTTTATATATTTAAAATACACAAAAATTAGACTAATGAGAACAAATTAAATTTTAAAAAATAATATTATCAAATAAATAATGATATTTTTAATATTTTAAAAATAAATTGAACCAAATACATATTTATTGTTATTTTTTTGGTTTTACAATATTTATTTATATATATTATAAAGGAGATATATTTTGATAACTATCCTTTTAGTCTTCACTTTTTAGTGGATGATTATACTCCTTGAATATAAAAAAAAAAATTATATATATTTTTTAAATAACTATCTATAATTTATAATATTTATTTGTGTGTAATTATTAGATATAGAAGTATCTTGACCTCTCTAATATAAATAAATAAAATTAATTAGATTTATTAACACTGATATTTTATTTGCTTACAATTACCATAAAAATCTGTGTTTCCCCAAAACAAAAGAAAACCCTCCAAGTCCGATGAATGATTAGCGAAATTGAAAAAGGAAAAAAGAAAATTAAGGCATAAAGCAACAGGAGGAGCAGTATTGATAAGCAAAAGAAAAGAAAATCGAGTGTTTCAATTCGGCGTCGTCGTCTTCTCTTGTATCGTATCAGTGTCACAACCTGCTTCTCTGCGATTTGGCGTTTCCACACGAACGACGCGACCATGATTCGTAATGGGAGCTCAGTTTGTTTGTGATAATTTTATTGTGTCTGTTCTAGGGTTTAGGTGCTGTGTTCAACTTTCAGAAACGAAACCCTAGCCAATCAGGAATGGCCTCCTACAGGCCCTTCCCTCCTCCGCCATCGAGTCAAATTCAAAACCCTATCGCAGGTGCGAATCATCAGTACAATAATCAAAATTGGGGTGCTTATGGAGATCCCTCCACTTCTTCATTCCCCCCAATCCCTCCAAATTCCAATTACCAACACCAACATCACCATGTTCCATATGCACCTCCGAATCCCCATCATGCTCACTATCCTTACCCACCACCTCCTCCTCCGCCGCCGCCGGAGGCTTCATACCAGCCTCT